ACGTCTCCCATGGCTGTTCAGCGGAAAGCAAATCTCATATTATTAGCATGGAACCAAATTTGCACGTCACAACTTACTCGCTATGACACTCTGACATAAGAATTGACAAACGTCCATTACAGTTTATAAAACATATGAACAGTTTCCTCCCTGGCCACCGTACGGATACACTCTCACTGAGAGCAGAATAGATTTCAGACAAAAAAAAAAAAGTGTTTTCTGTCAAGATACACTGAGAAGAAAACAAAATGAAAACACTTTACTTGAAGAGGTGTACATAAGACTGCAATGAATGTGAATGAGATTGTATACATGCTTATGGCGACTGGCATTGTGTCATTTGCTCAGTTTTGAATGCAAAGATGACATTGTTTATTATAACAACTTGTCATAAATCTGTCATGAACATTATCGTCATGGGGCCATAATAATTGTGTCATCCAAAGTGGCGTTATTTGTATAAATACACTGTCATTAATACTGACATTGTGATGACAAATTCAGCTTGTACCACTCTAGTTGAAGTCCAAAAAAAGAATGACACTGTTATAAATTTATAACATATTTATAATGGCTTCATGACAGTCATGTTTATGGCAGATTTATGACAAGTTTTGTTATCTTGGTTATGTCAAGTTGTCTTGACAAAGGTTCTGTTGTATTTGTCAACCCAGTATCATTATGGATATGTACTCCTATATACATTTCTGAAGAGCGCCAAGTATGTCCCAGGAGGTACGTTTATTGCAGTTTTTGTATGTTTTTCAGATCTCAAATTTCCCCCACGAGTGCCATTTGCACATGTTCTTCTTGAGTATATCCATCATAGGCTGCTGTCGACTGACTGACTGAGCAATTGTCTGACCCTCCTTCCTCCTTTTTCAAAACCCAACCGATAGTTTTTTTTAGATGCACCAATTGATCACCGCCCACCCACTTCTCTAAACCCAACCGACAGTGTTTTTTTCCAAAGCAATACACAAAAAGAAAATCCCTCTCAGCTGCCTGATTTTTTTTTACCACTTTTTCAGATCTTATCCTTCTCTCACCCTGTTATTAAGCCATTTTGTTTAACTATTTAGCTTTTTTTTTTTTTTTCATCTGCTTTCTAAAACTGTTCTTTGCTGGACTCGAACCTCGTCGCCGCGGTCAACTTTGCTCCACTTTACAAGCCAGGCGATGTATGTGGTGAGCCACTGGACAAACTAGTAACAGCAGAAAAACCGTCCACACGAAATAAAGCGGTCAGTTGGTGAGCCCAAAAAGAAGAAATACTGACATAAACATCTGGCCACATAATTCACGATCTCCAGAAATGTACATAGAGGTTTGTTTTCAGAATGAGCCTTTGTTGGATAATTTTTAACAGCGTCGATAATATTTAATAACATTTTGCTGACAAATTCAGCTTGTACCACTGTAGTTGAAGTGCAAAAAAAATATGAATGACACTGTTATAAAATTAATAACATATTTATAATGGCTTCATGACAGTCATGTTTATGACAGAATTATGACAAGTTTTGTTATCTTGGATATGTCAAGTTGTCATGTCAAAGACAAAAAACAGGTTGTGATGTATTTGTCAACCCAGGCTCATTATGGATATGTACCCCTATATACATTTTTGGGGAGTGCGAAATACGTCAAAGAAGCTTCGTTTTTTGCAGTTTTTGTTTTCGCAAATCCACCGGAGGCCACTGTGTACGCTTTTTTAGATCATAAATGTATATTGTGAGTGCCATTTGTGCCTGTTCTTCATGTGTATATCCACCAGAGGCCGCTGTCGACTGACTGACTGACTGACCGATCGACTGAACCACCCTCCTCCTTCCGTAAACCCAACTGACAGTGTTTTCAAAAGCAATCTAGAAAAAGAAAAGCCCTCGCGACCTTTCATTTTTAGATTTTACCACATTCTCACCCTATTATTTACTATTTCTGTTTTTGTCTTACCTGCTTTCTGAGATAATTAACCCAACCTGTGAGATCTCTTCGCTCTAAGGATCGACTCTATCACACTTGAAATGTCAAGGTGATTGAGCTTTTTTAGTTGCCGCTCCAAGACTTTGGAACAATCTTACACTCTACTTAAGAACATCTCCAACTTCCAAGTCTTTTCAGACGTTACTGAAAGCACACTTATTTTCTTTAGTTTTTAATCATGTGTTGTGAGATTATCTATTTTGGTTTCTGTATGTATTCATGTATTATATGTTTTTTTATGTACAGCACTTTGGAACCCATTATGGCTGAGTTTCGCTTCTGAAACCGTTTCTTAGAGGACTCGAACCCTGTCATCTTAGTCAACTCCAATAAGCATGCATAAAATCTCATTCACATTTATGACATTTGTCGTGTCATGATTTAATGATGTCTTATGAACACCCATTCATGTTAAACTGTTACCAAAAAAAAAAACAAGTTCTCCATTGGAGATCAGTAGTTTGAGTTTGCATTGTGCCCTCCAACATTAGTAAATATTGCCGTCCTGAATATATATATCAATCTTTCTATAAATTCACTACGTGATGAATTAAATACAACAACATATTTTCAACACAAGGTCTGGGTGAGTCTGTTTGCACACTGGCGGCTCAGTTGTATATATTCAAATTGATTTCACACATATGTACATAACGATTGACGAATCCATGGTCAATTCGCTCCATTGGCACGTCCATCGATGCTTTTGTGCCATTGAGGAAGGCACTTAATTCCCGTTAGCTCAAGGTGTGGTTTGGCTGCCCCGTGTGCTCATTCTCAGCCTTGTTTAATAACTCCTACATGAGTACAAAACCAGGAGAAAATTGCTGAGATCATTTAAAAACATGAAGAAGAGTGTGAGAGAAAATAATCCTTGGTATCCATCCAGTGTTGTCCATTATTAAATCCACTATGGTACAAGAGAATGCAATCCACAATTTCCTCATTCTCATTCAGATTCAAGAGTAATCCAAGTGTCTTGTAAGCGCTCATACTGTAGGTCTCTGTGTCCACAAGTCAGAAATGGAAGAGAAAATAACTTGAGGCATCAACATCAGCAGTATAGGGTGAATGGATAGTGCTCAAAAAGGCTTTTAAACTTACTGTACGTCAACAGAAATTAAAAGTATATTTTCCTCATAATCCTTAACTTTATATTCATTTAATAATTTACTCTCATGTCATTCCAAGACTTTTGTGCAATTTAAAACTTAAATTATAAGATATTTTAAAAATGAATCAATCACTATTTCTGAACCTCCTTTGGAAGCCTTTTGTTTCATGAAAGAGACTTTTTATTTGTACGTATGTTTTAAAGAAATACTGTAAAAACTGTAAATATTTGATTTTACATTTGAAAGAAATATTATCAGTAGTACGACTTTCTCCATCTTTGAAACTCAAATTATAAGATGTTTGAAATTAATTCATCACCATTTTTATTGGAAGCCTATTATTATTATTATTATTATTATTATTATTATTATTATTATTCGAACCAGCGACCTTCTTGCTGTGAGGTGAACGTGCTACCCACTGCGCCACTGTGCAGCCCCATTTTTATTATTTATTTATTTATTTATTTATTATTATTTTTTTTTTTATTATTGTTACCAGTAGTTTTCAGAATAAAACAGATTTTATTACACTCAAATACAACTATTATCCTAAAAAATGTAAAAAAAAAAATCATAAAAAGTTAAGGAAACCAAGAATTAAGTATTTGGGTAGATGAGAGGAATATGAGTGAAATATTGATGCTTTTCATTCATTTTTTGGATAATTTTCTGTGGTTACAGATTTGTCGCACCTCTAACATAAATAGCTTACTGCGGAATGAACCGCCAAATACTCTGGCATATCCCCTTCTAGTTGCAATTAATTCTAGCTGCATGTAAAATCTGAGGAAGCCAAGAATTATGTATTTGGGTGCATGAGAAGAATATAAGTGGAATATTGACATTTTTCACCCATTTTCATAGGTAAAAAATTTGCTGAAACCTTGATATAAAGTAAACAGAATAAAAATAAGTTTCTTGGCTTTTTGGGAATTAATATAAAATGTCACATTTGGGAATAAAAAAAAATTATACCTTTTTCAAACTGAATCAAAAATTAAATTGCTTTTAATTAATTGGTTCGGATACAAATTATAAATTGAATCAGGCTGTCAGTCAATTTGAATAATATGTATAAATATTTGGATATTTTGGGAATTTTGCAACGTTGAATTATTATTATTACTTTTATAATTAATTGTTTTTATTTTTTATTGACTTTGAACAGAGGGACAGAAATTATTTATTTATTAATGCATTCATTCATTCATTTTTCTTCAGCTTAGTTGGTCATCACAGCGGAATGAACCACCAAATACTTAGGCACATGCCCATGTAGCAGCAATTACTTCTAGCTGCATTTAAAATGAGGAAGCGAAGAATTACATATTTGGGTACATGAGACGCATACGAGTAGAGTATTGACATTTTTCTGGATAGTTTTCATTGGTTAAAAATTTGGTGCACCCTAAATACATTTTAGGATGTTTTGCAACGTTAAATTTTTATTATTACTTTTTTAATTACATTTTTATTGACTTTCATTAGAGGGGCAAGTCATTTTTCATTCATTTATTCATTCATCAAATTTCCTTCAGCTTAGTCCCAGATTTATCAGGGGTCACCACAGCGGAATGAACCACCAAATACTCTAGCAAATGTCCTTCTAGCTGCATTTATTTATTAATTTTGGTTGTATGTCTCTAAAATTAATAAAGTGTCTTTTGGAACAACATGAAGGTAAATAAACAACAAAAGAAACCAAAATATTGTGAACTGTCCCTTTAAGTGACCTACATCTGCTTACATTCGTATTTAAATACAAAAACACGGAATAGCTTTTGGAATAGTTTCAAGGCACTTTGGTTGATCAGTTTTCCCTTTAAAGTCTCCTTAATTCCTGAAGTCATTCAGTAATCCCAATGTAACGTACGGTGCTGGTAGATGAATCTGAAGGGCCTGGACGTTACACAACCGTATTCCTGTGCCGGTATGGCGGAGGTGGCAGAACCGGTCCTGGTCTCTTATTAAACTCCGATACGAACTCCGGGTTATCAGCCACGGCCAAACGACTCCGAATGCTGTGTCTGTACAGGTGTTTGCTTTTGCACGTCTGCGTTGGGTCTTGAGGGTTCGCTTGGGTCACCTTTGGAGGCAAACTGTGCTGCCAATAATCAGGATTATCGAAATTCTTCTTGGACTTCCTATCAGCCATTACAGTCCCAGTGTGTCCTGTTTGAAGCATGTTAACCGGGTAAACGAGGTGACCAGGAAGGCCGGATATGCTTTTATTTGGGACTGTGGATTTCGGTACTTGAGACTGACTCGCCAGACAAGGTTGGATCTGTTGACTGACGAGAGAGATTTGGGATAATAAAGAGGGATTGGCGGACATGCTTGAGGAATTGGACTCGACGGCGTGTGAAGACTGGGAATGCTGGCCGTTTTGGCTCATCGCTCTGGTTTGGGGGGGTTGAACAGGTGGGATGGCGAAATGAACATGTGTTCCCTGGCCGTGGTGATGGGCTTTTCCTGGTTGTGTGGAGAGGATAATGTGGCTGCTCGCGGCGCTGGTCGCTGTTGTCATCTGTAGAGGGATGGAGGATCCATTTCGCCTCATGATCTCCAGGTTTGTCCCACCGGTGGTGTTGTATGCGTTGAGGTAAAGGGGTTCGTTGATGTATTCGTCTTCTTCGGCTTTGGATTTTTTGTCAGGTGTGCTGTGGTAACCCGGGTTGTCCAGTGCAGTAATGTTTCCATTTTTCCGATGGTTTACGAAAGGATTCTCCTCGACAGGACTGAGATGGTCTGTAGGCACAGAGGACAATTCAAATCAGCGTGATAAAAATGGCAAATGCTTATCAAAGAAGAAATAGTATGTATAGATGTGTACACACCAACTTGTCATATTTATTTATTTAACCTTTAGTTTTTATTTTTATTTGAAATTTTAGGTGATTGTTTTGCTTTTATTTTGTAGTTTTTAAATATGTAACTTTATATTTTTTAATAATTTTTTATTTATTTATTTTATTTGGTTACCAAGACATAGTTTCTAAATTTCTTTCAAAGTGTTCCTCTATATATTTAGTTGTTATGATACCCATCATTTGCAGATCTGCCACTTTACCAAACTACAAATCCCATCACGCCCAGCACTCACACACCAGCTCTAGATCACCCCTTGATTTCACAGACACAATTGCAGATTATGCTCACTGATTACTTGGACAATTTAACCACCACAGACACACTCAGGGCCTGTTTACACTAATGCATTTTAGTTTTAAAATGGCATTTTAGAATGAAAATGATCCACATCCACACTGGCGTTTCACCTAGCAATTCTGTAAAGATCTCCGTCAACACTTTATACCGCTGAAAACACACATAACGTGACCACACACTCTGTCATGTGCTGCTGTGTATGCAGAGGTCTGAGCTCCAGGCAGTCAGCAGGTGCTTTGAGCACACCTACCAAGGTGAGAGCAACGCACATCAGACAGTTCATTAAGTATTTACAGATGGGTCTCATCTTACTATAGTTGTTAAACGAGATATTTAATTCATCTTGTCTAGGACTCTTTGGTATTTTGAATCTATTACTTGTTCTCAGGTAACGTGTTTTGGATGAGCGCAAAGATAGGTTAATATATTAATTTATGTAATTTCGTACTCTCATTCTGCATATTTGACTGATTGCTTGCCTTTATTTCTTATATTGTATAAACTTATTGTATGTTATATTTTTATAATATTTATAATGGCCATTATTAGCTTGATTAGCTAAATATTAGCTAAATAGCTTGAATCAAGTTAACCAGATATAATAATATTAATAATAATATTTATTTATTTATTTATTCATTCCTTTATTTATTATTATTTTTTTATTCTTTATTCTCAACTCTAAATAAGAATAATAAATAACTTGATTCAAGTTAATCAGAAATAAATATAATATTTATTTATTTATTTATTTATTTATTTATTCATATTAGGAACTGTAAAAAAGAATAATAAATAACTTGATTCAAGTTAACCAGATATAATAATAAAATTGATTTATATTTTTGTTATTATTTATTATTATTATTTTTTATTATTTGGAACTTTAAAAAGGAATAATAAATAACTTGATTTAAGTTAACCAGATAATAATAATAATAATAATAATAATAATAATAATGACTATTTATTTAATTATTTATATTCTGAAGTCTGAATGTAAATTCAGAACTCTAAATAAAACATATACTTGTAATAATCAGAATTCCGTGTCATGTAAGCACCTTATGTGTCAAATCACAGGAGCATTCTCAAAGCAGTGTATGTACATCTATAATCTATGGATATTACAGATCTTAATGCAGTGAATGCACTGTACAAACAATTATTGGTCTGAGTGCAATTAAACAGACAGAACTACAGAACAGACGCATTTTAGAGAGGAAATTTTGCAGACATTAAAAGGAACATCTCGGCCTACATTTGTACGAGTCTCCTGACCTACATTTTACAATTCATTGCGTTCTTTTGTGTTATTGTTCAGAATATGAATGAGAATTAATGAGCTGATTAAATTACCCTTCACATAATAAATATGCAGCATAACAAATGAGCAAGAATCTCTAGTACTTCCAGAAGAGAGTGTCACTTTTAGTTTATCGTCAAAACACATTCATGCTTGAAAATAAATGCTTTTTGCAGCAAGAACCATTTTTAGTTCCTTAAACAACCCTTCAGTGATTTTGTTCTCTTTTTTAAGAACATTTTATTCTATGAGCCTTTTTCTACTATAACAAAAGTGTAGTCTTTGCAAGGGTTCTATTAATGTTGAAGGTTCCCCATGGATATTCAATTCAACTCAATTTATCTTTATTTCTATAGCGCATACTACAATGTAGATTTTACAAAGTTCCATTCCTTCATTCATTTTCCTTCGGCTTAGTCTCCGATTATCAGAGGTCCCCACATCGGAATGAACCACCAACTATTCCTTTATATGTTTTACATAGCGGAAGCTCTTCCAGCCACAACCCAGTACTGGGAAACACTCCTACACTCTCACATTTACATACTATGGCCAATTTAAATACATCTAATCCACTTATATCAGATGTCTTTGGACTGTGGGGGAAACCGGAGCACCCAGAGGAAACCCACACCAACACAGGGATAACATGCAAACTCCCCACAGAAACGGCAACTGGCCCAGCTTGAATTCGAACCAGCAACCTTCTTGCTGCGAGGCAACAATTCTAACCACTGAGCCACCATGCCGCCCTGCATTAAGTTCCAGTAAAATAAAACTGCTTCAGTCCAGTTTTTACAGTTCAAGCATAAAATTAACAGATTTATAATATAAACTGATATACAATAGTACTGTCTGGTTTTTTAATCTGATTGGCTTATAGCCGTGTTATATTTTGCCAGTAACAGCATCGTATCGTCTCTTCACTCTTCACCTGTGTAAATTACTTCACCCACATACAGCAACAAGCAGAGGACACTCTACAGTTTGACAAATATTGCAGCGGTTGGACAACTTAATGTACTTTTAAGGCTTTTTAGTCGAGAATGTAGTTGTTTAGGTTGCACTCATGCAGTTTATTTATAAAAATAGTGCCTATTTTTAAATATTTACTATTTCTAAGAGACAGCATGTCTGCGGCCAATAGCCTGCCGTACTGAGCAGACCAAAGACGTTTGACGTTGTCTATCCACAAGATGGCAACAGGACCGCATAATAAGCCCTTAGAAGGTTAAAACAGTGTTCTAATATTATAATATAATAGTGTTATATATTATAAGTCAATCTCTCTCTTTTGTATGTTGTAGTGCTGTATTTATACCATATAATTGTTGTTTATTGCGTGTGAAATAGGACTCACATATCAGGAATGTGTGTTGTGTTGGCAGAAAGAAATGAGAAATACTCGTATGTGTTTAGCATTTTTCCTTATCGCAAACACAACAGTGACCTAGTGGTGATTGTGCTGCTTTTTTCGGGGTTAATTATTGTGATATCCGGATTGCAACAGAGAAATACTGTAGACTGTAATACTGTAAAGATATATCTCTGTAGACAAAAGACATTTCATGTCACGTTCATCCATATAATCTTAAAATGTCAGCAAAATCCTCTGTTTTGTTATCACTTCAGACATTTCGCTAGAGAATCATTCAAACACTAGCTCTAAAGTGAAGTAGGCTTATTAGTAACAGTTTATGCGGTTCTGACCTGAGCTGCAGATGTGAATGAATGGTGGAAGAGAATAGTTCCTAATACAAACAGGTTTTTGGACTCTCCGTGTTTGATTTTTTAAAAATATATACACACGCTTGTGTCGTTGAACTGTTGTATAAACATAATGTCACACTCGTAGCAGTGCAATATGGCTGTATATCAGGACTGGTGGGACACAACACACCAATGCACGCCTCCCACCAGTGCTGATATACAGCCATCTCACTGCTACTTGTGAGATATTGCTCATATATATATATATATATATATATATATATATATATATATTTTTTTTTTTTTTTTTTTTTTTTTCAGAATAAAGGCTTAAACAAAACATTAGAACTGTAAATATTAATATAGTAATCAATATAGTATCAATATAGAAGGACACAATGAAATGTTATGTCACATTGTATTGCTGTTTCTGATTTAAAGTGTTATATTTAAAAATATAACTAAATTACTTTTAAAATTTGTAAAAAGTCTGGATGAGAAATTCTTTAAAAGGCATTAAACAAATCACTCAAACTCCGAACAGTGAAACAGTCTTTTAAAATACATTAATTTAATAGTCAGTTTGTGTTAGTAACACACAGCCTGCTAGCTTTAGTTTAACTACTGAAACAGCGGGTAGCCCACTTCTAGTTAACCACCCACAATTCATTGGCACTCTTTAGTTTGAAGCCTCTGAGGTGAAGGATGAGACCATTAACTGCTGCCAAAATTTGTAATGGAGGAACTCAGAATCTATTGATTTATCGTCCCACTCAACCCACCATGCTTGGATTAATGTTTTACTCCAGACACTCTTTTGTTTTAAACTATCTGAGGCTGAAATGGAGCGACCGCAATATTATCGACCAGAGTATGTGTAATAAAAGACTTTCAGTGGTGATTTACACCAAACTAATTCATGCAGACCCAGAAGCATCATGCACATGCCAAGTGGATTTCGGATAAAAAGGCATGCAATGATTTATCGAATAGTTTTAAAATATCTTATATCTGGTTATATATACAGTATATGTAACATTTGGTTATCATTTACTCATCTTCCTCTTGTTCCATAGTCATACTAAATAATTTTTGGGGAAAAAAACACCTACTGACTAATACAGTGCTCAGCATAATTAAGTCTCTCTTTTAAATTCATTATTTTTTTTTTTAAAAGGAAGCTATACAATATTATATTTGTGCATATCCATTAGATTAGTCAGTACTGAAGCCAAATCTTTAGCTTATCTAACAAAATAAAAACTATAGTACACCCAAATGTGAAATAGAAAAATATGAAATACAAATTTTCATTTATAATTAAATACAAATATATCCCAAAGCAAAAAAGGGAAAAAAAATAAGTAGAATTATTTTTAGGTTGTAATTTTTTTTACCTAACCTTTTTTTAAGATTGGTTTGCTCAGTAGCTCAACATGAACGGAGCACAGCAGACTAGAGTTTAAGTCCGACGAAGTTCCAGAAACTAGGAAAAACTAAACCCAAAAAAGCAGCATGTGGTTCTGATGGCTTTTCTAGTGTGCTTTTGAAAACACTATCGGTTGGGTTTAGGAAAGGTGGTATGTAGGTAAGTCCATATCAAGCTGATATATTATGCACAATGACAATGAACACGCACAAAAAAATACATTAGTATGTAAAGAATTATATACAGCAGCCTCTAGTGGATTTACATTAAAATGGCATGTATGAAACATTTGAGATCGTCAAGAATGTACACTGCGCCCTCTAGTGGATTTTTATAAACACAAAAACTGCCAGCAAATATTCTCCATTGTGCATATTTGTTGGTTCTTAAAAAATTTAGCCCTGGGCACATATTTCCAATGATACTGGGTTGCATTTCACAGCTTAATTTGAGTGATCTGTGTACTGTACCTGAGGTTGACTTGTTCATAGGGCTCATGTATCCATCTTCGTCTGTGTTTTTCAGACTCCTCTCGCCGAGAAAGACGGTCGGGTCTGCACTGTAGCGCTGGCCATCGCAGTCATCCCCTGATCCTGACATGGGCTGCTGCTTCTTCAGGCTCCCGTTACAGTGCTGTTCCTCTAGAACGTTCAGTCCCGCAGCTTGAGTGCTCACAGGAACAAACACAGCACTCGCTGAAGCAGGAACATCACGAGAACAAGCCCCCATCCCGTCTTCAGGACTGAAAACCCTGTCACGACACCTCAGAGTCTATATGTGGGACAAAAGTAAAGATTAGGTGCATTACGCTCTTGACTACAATGATACAAAATGACACTTTGAACCAACGTAAAATAAAATAACATTTTGTTTTGTAATTTATAGTTTAACTTTGATTCAAACTATAAAATTGAATTTAATCTACAACAAAATATTTATTGTGGTCAAGAAAAAAAAAATGAAATATTGGCCAAAATTGAAATACAAATTTTATTTGTTTTACTTTAATACAAAGAAAACCACCTACTATTTGGGTCAGATAAATCAGCATTTTGATGAGTTGATCAGTGATTTTTTTTATTTTTATTTATTTTTTTTAGACTTGATAACTGATAATTAATAATAATAATCATATGGTAATACTGGCCAGCTTTATCCCATCATCCTTTAAATTGATTGGTGGGCACAAGAGCATCACAAATAAATGAATGAGAACTATATTTGTAAAAGACAATCCACAAAAAAACTGTAATAATAAATAGTATAGTAAATTTCCTGAAGAAACCGTGAGTGAGGTTTCTGTGTCAGATTGCAAGATAGTGGTGGAAAATGGCCAAATGTATCTGTTTATGTAGTTGCTAAGGTATTTTGGATGGTTGCTAGGCTATGTCAATGCAGTTTATTAGGTAAAACAAAAGAAGCTTTCATCACCTTAATCAAAAGTACCCAAACTACATCTTTCTATAGTGTCCCTATTCTGGGATAAAGCAACTTTAATGTTTTCATTTTGTTCTTGATCACTGATAAAAATTATTTTCTTTAATGTATTTTGTTGTAATACACCTTGGTGAGAACAAAAAAATTAAAATAATTATAATTAAATAAAATATTTTTTTATTAATAAATAAAACAATTTTTAATTAAAAAATTAAAATAAATGAAAAAATCAAATAAACATAAAAATAATAAAATAATAAAATAAAATAAATAAAAAATAAACTAACCAAAAAAATAAAATACATTTTAATACATTTAATAAAATACATAAAAAATTATTAAGTTAAATAAAAAATAAAATTATTAAATTAAAAATAAATTAAATTTTATGTAAAAGAATAATTAAATTAAATTAAATTAAATTAAATTAAATTAAATTAAATTAAATTACATTAAATTAAATTACATTAATGAAATATATAAGTTAAATATTAAATTAATAAAAAAATGAATAAATAAATTTAATTAAGAAATTAAAAAATAAATTTTATTAGATTAAGTTATTAAGTTAAGTTGAATTTAAATAAATAAATAAAATGAACAAATAAAATAAAATAAAATAAAATAAAATAAAATAAAATAAAATAAAATAAAATAAAATAAAATATTTGACAGATGCTTTTATCCAATGAACTGAAAAGTAAGCAAAAAAAGTAATTCTCACCCAGCTGGCATCCATTGTTGTGCGTGACGTGTAAGTAGAGGTAGAGATATTGCAGGTC